GGGGGGGGGGACTCAAAATACATCAAAATGCTACGAAATACACGGGAAGCGACAATGGAAACATTGTGCCCCTTAGAGACACGCCGTCTGGGTCAGCCTCAAAGCGAATGCTTTTGGATTTCCGTTACGTTGAAAAGGGCACGAAAGGCAGAGGGCAGGGCTGTTTGCGGAAAAACATTACATGCTGGAAAAAAAGGAAAGAGGCGCACACACAGACGCACCGAGGAGGGGGGCACGGCACTGAGCCCAAACAGGACAGCCGCTCACTCACCCGGCTTCTCGTCTGGGGCCCCCCCAACACTGATCCACTGTCTACATCTCCCATAAGGAAGTCAGACACTCTGGGAGGGGAGGGGGTGGGGGAGGAGAGAGGGCACAAGGTCACATGGTGGCCAGCAGCCAATGACTTCAATTCAAGCAAACTGATCAGCCAATTGAACGAGAGACACGGGATATGAGTCACATGACAAACTGACACCAAACTGAGTCATGCTACTAAAACTGAACCGATCTGTCTGTGCATTACATTACGGACATACTTACACATTGCCAAATGTAAATGCCAAGGTGTCAATGGAGGTGTATATTTCGCCAAAAATGTGCTTTTTGTTGTCTTCATTCACATCCTTGAAGTTCACGCCTGTCGTGAAAAGGGTACTGGATTAGGGCTGAACAGATACAAGAATGAGACACATCCATGCCATTCATTCCTACAGGAGCGTAACACTCATGCCATCGCACAAAAGCATCTGAACACGCGTATGAATTGACACACATTCGAAAAACGCCATGAAATGCGTCATCAGAACCAGCAAGTCTGGCGAGCGAACGCCCAGATTTCTGCTGCTCGGGGGGGCGTTAGTGGCACTGCGAGATCACGACTGCTCTAAACTTTTAGCACTCCTATTGTTACTGGGGCAGTATTCAGGCACGACCATAATCTGACTGAGCAGCAATTTCCTGCTGACAGTCTAAACACACTAAAGGGGGAACTGGGGGGGGGCGGCACCAGAGTAAATGGCTACATTCAGGGTGTCCTCAAACTTCCTTTCCAAAGGCAACAACCATTGGGGAATTTAAACACACACACACACACACACACACACACACACACACACACACGAGCACCAGCGACGCCTAAATTCCTCAGAGCCTGTATCCTCACCCCCCCCCATCTTAACAATGCATGCAGCTAAACGGAGAAAAACGCCAAGGGGAGGCACCACAACGGGCGAGACTCCACACCGCCGTAAATCGCACCGACGCAGATGTGGATAAAAACAAAAATACCTCGCAGGTGGAATCTGGGTCACGCGCCAGCCATTTCTGGAAAGCAGACGAGCCATCGGTCCCTCCACCCCCCCCAGACCTTCACATGCATGGTCGTAAAAGTTTCCATCGAGGCCCCCAAAAAGGGACAGAGTTTAGTGCGTAAATGGCCCAACGAGAAACCGGGACAGAGAGTGCGAACACCGAGCTGAGGTCAGATCTCTGCCGAGTGTGACGGGGAGGTTCCATCACGGGTTTCCTGGCCCTCGTCGCTGATCTGGACAGCGAGCGAGCAGCGGGCCATCAGACGGGTCTCCAGAAGGTTCTCCGCAGCTTACCGTCTCACGCAAAGCCGGCGTCCGGATCGGAGGTAGCGTGGCAATGACAGCCAAGGTTCGTCCGGGAGACGAAAAGAGAAAAAGAGCAGCAGCTCAGCAAACTTCTACGTGTTCCTCACGGTTTCGAGCTGTCAGTGAGGAGGGGGCAGATCCACAGCCCGCGGACTTCTCGCACACGGGAACCGTCAGGTCTGTCTCCTGCTCGGAGCCGGAGAACGGGAGAAACTCCCAACCACGTTACGAGGGACTCACAGCGAGCCTGTACTAGCCCCGCCCCCCTCCCGGTGACGTCTACTCAGGACATCCTGCTGCTTGCACACAATGTCTCCCCCCCAACAATGTCGTGGGCTGGGGGGGGAACCACACCATCTGACAAAAATTACATTGTTCTGCATCCACAACCCCGCAAGGAGCCTTTATCCCCCGCCCAAGTAACGGGGGGTGGAAGGGGGCACGGGATGAAACAACGTAGCGGCCGATTAGCAAAGCCGATCTGTTCTTCTCCGATTTGTGAAGTCAGCACCGAGAGGGAGGGAATCGAGCCCCAAACTGATGCAGGAGAATTTCCTAAAAACGTGACCATCGGCAGTCGCAGCGACAGGGAAGTCCCACCCACCCCTGCAACCCCCCAGCAAAACCACCTCCCAGCCCCTCAGATGACTTTATCGGGCCTACAAACTTAAAAAAAGCCCAAGGTACGAACTACAAGAAACGGTCTCTGAGAAGATGAAACCACCATAGTTTAGCTCCTCCAGCTACAGTTACAGGATGCGGTGCAGCTTTACCTTCAGACCTTAAAAAATAACAACAACAAATAACAAGCCTGGTTTTTTCGCAGTTGTTTCCGGGAATGACTCGGAAAGTACGCGGCGAATGACCACCCACCGGTCTCCTCCCCACGAAGTTCCTGCACGAGTGACTTCAGCACGGGCATGGGTAATCTCCCCACCTCCTCACATCTGACTAAGACAAGACTGTATCACCCGAGAGCAGGTGGCGGTCACAGGGACCGGATCGGGGGTATGCGGACGTCACCATCACAACTTAACCACCAGGGGGCACTGGACCGACTCAAGTGTGAGGAGAATGTAAACTCTGAAACTGCACCCTGGGCATAGGTGTCAGCCAGTGGTTAGAGAGGTCATCCACCGCGGTCTAAGAGCCCCCTAGTGGACAGTTTCAGAAGTGCAGATCCGTGCACGGAAATGCATGAAGCCACGAGACTTCTGGCTCGCTGCAGTGCTGCCATACAAAGGCCCAGACGAGGAAAGCGAAAGGTGCTTGTTTAACTGAAAGGAGATGGTCAGGACTTAAATATAACCTGCCGATCCAATAGGCAGACTCAGACTCAGATAAAATACTTGCTGCGGCCAGTAGGGGGACAACAAACCACACATGACCACCAGTAGATCCCGAAGTGCATCATGGGACACTGGTTGTTCCAGCATGAAGACC